TAGATTATTCATATGACGCATAAATGGCTCATTTATGCGCTATAATGGTCTAAAAATGACGTAAATATGATCATCCGAAACAATCAGTTAGCAAAATGGTGTTAAAATGACTCATAAATGTGCTATAAATGACCTAAATATGATCATAATTCGATAGTCATTTTAAGATAATATTTAGCTCATCGAAAAATGGCCTTAGAAGAGTTAAAGCATGAGACAATACTGGGCTTAAAATGAGCTAAATGTGATCATAAATAACCTTGAAATAGATCATAAATAAACAATAAATCACTCATATATAGATCATATTTAAGGTCATTTTCATCGCCCTGGGTAGTCTAAGTATTCTGTTGAATATAAAACTATAAAAATGGTTTGATTGACGCCACTTTTGTGGTAAGACGCTAAATAATTAGTGCAGAACTAGAATTGTTCATGAGCGACATCTTTGTCATAAATGAGTTGTGGCAGAGTTTAGATCGATCAATGTGATTGGGAAATTTTGCTTCTATTCATATCAATCGTCACTCGTCAGCTGATTAAAGACATTCTTTTTTTTTTCTCTTGTAACTTTTCCAAAAAATATGATAGCATTCTTATATCTTCTAATATAAGAATGAAAGTGTCAGAACGTTTTAGTGTTGCCGTCCTCCTACTCTATCGTTTCTTAATACAGCTTCATATTTTCTATTTCACTGTATTATATATTCTATATCACTTACATCATGTGTATAGGATCATACAGTACAGCTATAAGAGCTACCGAGATGGCGAAAAATATACCCTGAGTTTTATTTTTAATGTATGTTTTTCACTATTGATGCTAGAGAGTCAGTTCAAACGCCATTCCACAGAGCAGATATTTTTTAACATTACTAAAGAAAGGTTAGTCTTGAAATATAGCCAACACTTTTTTTCAGAGCATAACAAAGCCGAATTTTTGTTGTGAAAAATCAAAAGTTTCCGAGACATGCAGAAAAATCTCTCTGTTTTAGGGTTCTTAGAAAAATGCTTGTAGCTTTTGATTGGAATATTGCACAGCTGAGCAACGTCCCATGTTGAAGATAACACTTTTCTCTATATGAATAAGTATTTTTTGCAGCGTGAACAATGAAAAATTAGGAGCTGAAGTCATGGACGTGCCGGGAAAAACTTTTATGTGGGGCAATGAATTTTTTAGAGTACTACATACACAAATGTGCTTCCCTTCATAATTTTGGACCGTGTTAACAAAATTTTTCCTTCATTTAAATTGTATATCAAATTTTTCGATCAAGAATTGCTCTTTCTTTATTTTGAACTTCGGACAGATACTATGCTGCGAAGTATAATTCTTCACAGGGCAATAACTGCTTGGATTGCTGAATGACGTCTCATTGTATAGAGCACACTTAATTGTATATTGTGACATATCTAACTCGAAAATCGAAAGTCTTAATAGAGAAGAGGGTATGGAGTACTCAGGGACGCCGTAACAACGGGGGTAGAGGAGGAGAGCCTCCTCCCTACTTGTTGAAATATCTTACTCCCAAATTCGAAAAGTTTTTGCTCTGAAACTGCGGTCAACAATTAGCACTATCTGGCATATGCTAATAAACATAACAGCATGTGGAAACGAAGAGAAAAAACTTCTGAGCTCTGATTTAATGTTGTATAATGAGCCGTCGTTGATTACTCTCTACGTTAAGTACTCTATTTAAGAATAAACCCCACTATATTTTCTTTTTTTTTCGTTTAGAAGAAAATCTGCTACCACTCGCATTTTGAAAGCTTTGGATTCTTCTTCCTCTCTTTCACTAACTTGGCTCCCAAATTCGACGCTATAAACGCTTGACTCTTCGTAACAAAACGCCTTTGTCCACGGAGTTTGCTTCCAACGTCAAAGTTTGAGACTCAGGTTTTCAATCAATTCCTTCGATCATGACGTTGAATCAGTACGTTTTAGTCTTAAATTTAAGCAAAAGCTTTAGCGCATGAAGTTTTATGCAACTAAAACATTTTGTATGTCAAAATTTGCGTAGTTTTAGACAACTTAAATATTTACACTTAATTTTTGGAGAACTTTCGATTTACTTTATTTTTGATGCCTTATAGTCACACTACTATCAGATGATTAATTCTTTGTATTTTGAAGGCTACAACTACGACATGTACAATAATAGGGTTTGATTTCAAAATTTTGAATGTCCTTTTTGATGAGCCAGAAATACAAGACTTTAAGACGATCGACAAGAATTTTCTTTTCTAAAGCTTGAAAACAGTCATTTATACTAGTTCCTTATATATATAGTTGTGTTCAAAAATATCTGCTCTGTAGAATGACGCTTGAACTGGCTCTCTAACATCAATAGTAAAAAAGATACATCAAAAACAAAACTCACAGTTTATTTTTCTCATCTCGATACGAAGCAATGATATCGATCTAAGCTCTCTTTTAACATATTTTGAAATAATTATTCATCCTAAAATAAAGGATATTAAGTACATAAAAGATTATTACACTCTTGAACTTAAACAAATATCGTTCTTTTTTAAAAATGTATTACATTGTGTTGTATTTTTTTTCATTTTAGACTTATATATGAGTTATACGTTTAAATTATTTGCACCGCAAAATAAAGCGGCAGCATTACGTTTAAAAAATGCAAATTCTCGAATGTTTGGAATTGATATTGCCATGAAAAAACATCCAGATGGATTTTTTCGTATATCTGTTGATTTAGCTGATAGTATTTATCATTATCAATTTAAAGTAGTAACAAATAGTTGGTTTGAAGAAGGTATATTAAAACTCTTCTACTACACGTGTCATCTAAGATATTCATTGGAAAAAAACTTTCTTCCTCACAAAAAATAAACATCTGTTATTTTATGATTTTATTTCTTTATTTTAGCCCCAGAACCAGCTTTGCCTGTTTATGAGCGTATGTAAACATTTTTTTTGTTTTCTCTTTCAAACTCTTATTTTAACGTCTATCGGCTTGTCCAGCTAACGGTCTTCTTTTTCGCTCTTTTTCAAAGAACTATGGCAATAAAGTTAGAAAATAATCTAAAATTACAACTAGATAATTGAGTAGATTAAACATTTCTCTATAAAATGAAAAGTGTCTCGGCTCTGAACATTCGTTATGAAAATACAGCTGTTGTACAAACAGACCCAAAAATTGATGTTGAGGCTATCTAAAAAGCGTGTCTAAAAGAGTGAAGACGAGCTGGCAAAAATTGAACAAGTATACCAGTTTGTAGCCAAATTGTTTGCTCTACAAGACGTGACAACTTGTCAAGTGCGAAACTATTCTAATTAATTTGTATTAATCAAAGAAAAAATAGAAAACCCGTGACAAAAAACGGGCAAAAGTGTCACGGGTCAAAAAGTTTTTAATTTAAATTAAAATAAAATAAGTGGCGATTTTAAGTTGCAGAAATTGAAGATTTAATCTATACTACAGAAGTATTGTACTTTCTACTGTAGTCGAATTAAAATACGCATTTAGACGGATGATGATATATACAAGCCGATAGACGTTAAAATAAGAGTT